TGGTAAAGAGAAGATTGCAGGAGTTCTTAAAAATAATTTGATGTTCTAAAAATATAAATGTAAGAAATGTTATCACTGTTCAAAATATTTTACATTAGTAGGTAAATAATATAAAGGTCAGACGAAAGTTTCTGAAGAGTCAAGTTTGATACGGGTGCAACCTTTCTCTTAATTTTTAATAGAAAATTGTATTTAGTAAATCTTCTGTAGGAAATGGGAGTTCTTTCTTGTAAGGGTTTCTGGTCTCTGAAAATCACAACCATAGAAGCAAACATATCGATTACAGTGCATGCTGTTTTGTTAAGTGTCTTAGGGTTTATGTTGTAGAATTCGGAAAAAAAAATACACTGGCTCTTCAAACAGCTTCATTTTCTCTCTCTGGACAAATTCTTGTCCTACAACAGATTTCACAAGGCAGTTTTACTTTCTATGGGTAAAATATCTCCTGTGTGAAACCAGCCACAGAGAAACTCTACTTTTGCTTCAGTTTCTTCTGTTGATCACTTCTCCACATCATTACTCCTTTTCAGTGCTCAGTTTGCCAAAGATCAACTTTTAAAAGGCACTGCGGTTTATAGAAGAAAATATTGTTGTATATTCAAAATGCCCCTTCTAATTTCTCTGCTCCTAGTAACACATAGCATTAATGAGAGCACAATATGTAGCAAATCCATCTTGAGAGCAATCGTTTGTTTAAAAAAAAAGCCGACTGACACAAAATGGAAAATTCCTGAGTGTTCTGCTATTTTTGCTTGATATGTGTAAAATACACTTTTGTTCATTAACTCGTTTTATCTCACTAACTGTAAGATGTTATTAAAGAAATAAACAACAAGATTAACTATGATAAATATTTTAATATGAAGTCTCTGAAGTGATCTGAGTGCTTCTAAGTTTCCATCTCAGTTCCTTTTCCAAAGGCTTGGAAGATCATTATAGTAAAAAGCATGAGAATAAACAAGCCACGCCAGACTTATGACTAAAGCTACCTCACGAATAAGGAGGTCAAGCACTTTGTGATAGTTTTTCCTGTGTCCCAAGCCTAGTGCTCACAGTTCAGACTCTTCCAGAGCTTGAAGTGGTGTTTTTGTATTTAATAGCCTTTGACAGATTTTTTTTTTCCGTGGCTTTACTGATCTGATAAATACAATTAGCTGATGTGCTTGTGGATTAAAAACATGATATAACATTAGTCATGCTAGGACACACTTCATTTTCCTAACTAAGAGACAGATTCATTCCCATGTACTGTCATTTTTACGCCCACCTCATAGATTTTATCAAATTCAGTTCCATAATCCATTTATGTCCTTTAGGGCTGCAAACCCCATTTCACATGTGGAAATAAGTGAGATACTGAGTTCTTTACTGACTTTGGGACTACAAAGGAAATGTGAGGGTCCAGGACTCTGCCACACTCCCTAGCTCTTCTTCCCACACGATTTCTAGGTTGTGTTTCACAGCTTGCAAGCCACGTACAAAAGATGAGCACAGAAAGGAAAGTCTGCCCTAGCATTTGTTTTCTTGGTATTTATCCGTGAAAGTTTTCTCTTTTTATACTAGTTTTCATACTATTCCCGCTCTATGATTAGGTATTTGCTGTATCTCTCTTGAGTCTGTGCAGACAGAATTTCAAGGCGACAGTAAAAAGTCATTTCCTTCCCCAGACTTTGTGTGGCTGAGGTGAAATGAGGTGGATGAGATAGGAAGGTCTCATTTTAAGTGGAATGGTAGGGCAGTAACCTTACAGATGTACAGTTGTCGTTGCTGCATAGTGAGAGAAGGAAACCCTTTTCTGAAAAAGGCAAATGAAGCATTTGCTTGTCAGAATTGTTCCTGGGGCCTGCAGAAAGCAGCAGAGAGATGAAGATGAAAGATATGGTGGTATTTTCCAAATAAGGTTATGCTCTTGCTCCCATTCACTTTGGTGTTGACAGAATCAGGTCCAAAAAGTGTAGTGAAAGAGAGCCAAAAACATTTAAGAATCTTCCTAGTCCTCCTCCTGCCTTTTCTGGAAATTATAGCCTTGCTATACTCATCCTTTGTTTAAAAACAAAACAAAATCACGACCTGGAAAGGGCTGAGTCAGGCAAGGCAGGATCCTCTGTAGTTGTCAAGAAAACACAGCATAGCCTTAACATTTTTTTAAGCCGTAAGATTGTCTGACTTTCCTGATTCTCTTGTAAGGCAAACGTTGGATCTTGACTGCTTTGAGTGCGCAATATGTTGTGCTATATACCATAGTGCTGTAAACAGAGTCGTATAATCAAGTTAATTTCAGCACATCACAACACAGAGAAAGCATTTTAAGACCAGTTGTTCCAAATATGGCATGTGTTGTGTTTTCCTATAAAAATACATTACATGGCACAGGTATTTACCTTGAATTTTTGTATTTGACATTGTTAATTTTCAGTCTTAAGAAATACCTTATAGTCATTCTCTCTCTCTCTTTTTTTTTTTTACCTAAATAGGAAATGGATATGGCAACCCCCGCAACTCACCAGGTCTGCTGGTCTCACCTGGCAACTTGAACAAGAATATGCAAGCAAAATCTCCGCCTCCAATGAATTTGGGAATGAACAACCGCAAACCAGATCTCCGTGTGCTTATTCCACCTGGCAGCAAGAATACAATGCCATCAGTGGTAATGCATTTTCAAAGCTTCTTTGGTCTCCTTCAGCTAAGAGATACTTGAAAATTTCAAGGCCTGCTCAAGCAACTAAAATCAGCAGAATAACAGTCCACATTCTTGCTTGTTTGGTCTTTCTGTCTAACATTAAGGCTTGACATTGAGCTGAGGATGTAGGCAGAGCCTGTCTGATTGCTTTTATGAAGTCATATTTACTTCCTCCCTTTTTTCTATTAAGTGGCAAAATAGGAACTGTGTCCTGCACAGTCTAAACTTCTGCACTCTCTTTCCTAGTAGCTGGAAGAGCCTTTCCTGGGTTTGTTATAAAGGTTGAATTTAACCCTAAGTATTCCTAACCTACTGTGTTTTTCTTAAATATTTAGCCACACAGACTCTCAGCAGATGCCAGATTAACTACAAACAAATTAATTTGAACTTTATCACTCTGAGCTCCAAAGGCCAAATTTTATGATGATAAGAGGTAGTAAACAGATCAAGCAGGAAAAAAAGGAGCATGAAACTGCTGTATCTCCTGCCAAGATCAATGAAATTCAGGCAGGCTATGGTGCTAGAAGGTTGACTCGTGGAGATGTCATGTGCGTATCTTGTAGTTCCCTTCTGAAAGTCAGTTAGTGGTTGTAAGTAAATCTTTCATGAGTGACTTAACATAAATAGTTAGCTTAATTTTAAAAGGATCTTAACACTAAATTTAAGTGACGCTATAAACGCATTTTTCCATTATGTGACAGACACTATTAAAACAACTTGCAAGTTGGCTACTTTAGCTTGATGCATAATAAATTAACTTTAAACATCAAACTAAAACCCCCCACAAGTGTGATGCTGCCTTCTGAGAGGCTAAGTAACAAATAGTCTCCTACAAGGCAATGCTCAAAGTCGACCAAGGCAGTGACAAGCTGTCTGCATCAAATGATTTATTCCAAGGTCCTTAAAACTGATACTTTCCAAGGGATTCTGTGAATGGTCAGGTCTCCTGAAACTAGGTATAGCAACACAGTCTGCAGCCACTGGGACTGTGGAAGAAATAATGAATTCTTAGAGAAAGTCTTGTTCTGAAAACTGGATAGATTGTCCTCGCAGTTGAGACAGAACACCACATTAGAAGGACAAACAGGAGATCTGTGAAGTGTTATTTTTCCAAACCATGCTCAGAAAGCGTTTCATTTGCTGCCCCTATCAAATGAACCTATTCCCTATGCTAGAAAGCTGCGTCCTGGTAAATATTTATATTCACTATTTTTTAATGCTCCTTTCCTATGCACTCAGTCTGAGGATGTCGATCTGCTTCTGGTAAGTGGTAGTGATGTTCGTCTAAATAACGAGGAACAGCAAATAATATCTTTTATATGATTGACATTTGTGTAAGTGAAGTATTGGTTGAAATGAAATGGTAAACTTTACCATAACTATTTTGTGAATAAAAAGATCATCATAATTTTTGAAATTTAGCAATATGGAGGGCCAGATTCAGTTGTTGCACATATTCAAATTATGCATGCTAGAATAAAGCTTTCTTGGTGGTGGTGTTTTGAAAGCATGTAAACTTGTGCTGTTGAAGATGGTGCAGCCTCACGATGATTTTTTTGTGGCTTTCTGGTCATTTTATCCTGCCACTCACAGGGTTTGAGTTGTCTAGTGCAAATTTTACAGAGCAACATCTAGTGCTCCGGAGTTAAAGATAAAGCATGTAACTGCTTGTGCTACCTAACACTCCTGAAGTTTGTTTTATTGCACAAAAATGAAGTAGTCAGAGCCCCATCTGCTGGTAAGAGTTCAGTGTTCAGCAAGCTTGGGGTGCCCCTCACTTCCAAAGCACAAAATCCAGCAGGACTGGGTTTGGGGTTTTTTCTTTCTTTTTTTTTTTTTTTTCCCCCGCCTTTTTTTTTTCCCATTTAAGTGAAAAGGAAAACAATGGGAATAGAGTTTACATATTTCATTAGTTTTTCACACGGTCTGTTCTTCTACCCACAATAAAAGCAATCTTACTTGTTACTAGTTCAGTTACCTAGGAGATACTGATGTAATGGGTTACTATGGTGACAACTGGTCTCTAGAAGGCTTGTAAATGATAGGGTTGGCAGAGTTCATAAAAGCCACATGTTAAATGATTAATTTCTAGAAATTTGTATCAGCCTGTGTTTCTCACGCACAAAACATACCCAGAAAGCAAATGCACTCAACTGACTTAAAACTAGTCAATAATATGTTTATTTTACTTACTTTAAAAGAATCAGAGGATAAATAACTCCCAGTCTGCTCAGTCATTGGCTACTCCAGTGGTTTCCGTAGCAACTCCTACTCTACCAGGGCAAGGGATGGGAGGATACCCATCAGCCATCTCAACAACATATGGTACTGGTAAGTATCAGTGCAAGATGTAAAGGGTGGGGGAGGGAGCAAGATGCTGACAAATGTCTATCTCAGTACTGATGAATTAGCTAATGCTCTTTCGAAGACACTGAAAAATTCATAGTTGATATGCTTTTGCACTGTGTTTACTTATTCTGTATCTGTCAGTAACTCAAGGCATATCTATGTAAAAGTTAGCTATTTTGTTTGAATGGAAAAACTACTTTGATAGCTTTCTTTCACTGGCTTTAATAAAAAAATGCAATTTAAAAACACTTCTTAATCCTCTTAATATAGGTAATTTCAGGTATTTGAGTGCACCTCCCTAGTCGTAAGGATAGTGGGAGCAAGCAGTTTCACTGGCTTCAAAACAGAGCTCGCTGACTTTGTGGGCTATCACCTAGTTACCTGGGAAAGACTAGAAATGAAGTCTCAAGAGGTTCTTTCTGGTTCCCATTGCACATTGCTGCTGTACAGAGCACGCCGGTGTACAGATGCAATGCTCTTGGAGAAGGCATGTGTTGTTCAGACACAGACTGCCTGCTGAGTTCTGTAAGAAAGACTGTAACAGAAATATTCTTAACGTTTTTCAAGTCTTTGTGCGAGTGCATCTGTGGTTATGGTGGATATACAGGCTAAGAATGCTTTGGATCTTCCAGACCCAGAAAAGCCCTGCTAAATTACAGAGTAGTTATTAGTGCGTTATTTTCTCCCAAGGTAAGGAGTTGAGGGAAGAGGAAGGTCTACTTTTTCTGCTGCAACTTAATGTGATTGGTGTAATTAAAATTAAAAGGCTTATAAAGTGACATGTGAAAATTATGATGCTACTTATTGTTTAATTGCTTCCTTCTTAATTTGCTTTTAATTATTGTCTTTTCTGTTTTCAAATCTAGAATATTCTCTGAGTAGTGCAGATATATCATCTCTCTCTGGATTTAATACAGCCAGTGCTCTCCATCTTGGTTCTGTGACTGGCTGGCAACAGCAACACCTACATAACATGCCACCATCTGCCCTCAGTCAATTGGGGTAAGCAGTGCTTTCCTTATTTTATTGTTCTACATTGACTTCAGTCTCCCCAAATCTCAAATATATCAAGATAACATATCAGCACATATTTACTACATCCATTTCCCAAAACTGGAACTACATATTTCATTAAAAGTTTGCTAGGTAGCTAAAATGAAATATTCTGTGTCCATGGCATTTTCTCAGTAGTGTAGTAAAGGCTACTGTCCATGTTTTATTCTTTATTTCTTTGAATAACATTTTATTTCCCGACTAAAGACAAAACTAAACACTTACGTGGTACTGTTGCTGTATTTTCCCATTTATGCTTTTTATTTCCAGTTACTATAGCACAAACATTTACAGTAAACTTGAAAATTTTCTAAATATTTTTAATCAAGTAAGAGTGTCATAATGATTGGACTTGAGATTAAGCCTTAACCTGATATAATAATCACATACTCCCTTCTGCTCAGCTCTGACATTCAAGTTTCATTTCTTTGGAAATGTTTTCTACAAGCAAATAACATAATTAGGCCTAAGAACCGTTCCCACAAAACTCGCCGCGATTTGCCTGTGTTGAGGAGGATAGGTTTTCATGCCCTCTAGTGGCTGATTTCAAGAGATTTGTTCAAGGTTGGTGAAGCACACTGCTAAATCAGTTCAGGATTTTTAAAAGTGTGAAAATTCACACAGCGAAGTCACCTAATGCACTCTCTTAAAAGAAACCTATTGGCTTATTGAAGTGAACTTCAAGAATATGATTTTCAAAAGTCTTGGTATCCGCAGTTTCTATTGAGTAAGACCGTAGGCATTCACCGGCACACCACATCGAGCCTCAGGTATGGCTAGACGTGATTGATTTTTGAAAGTCTTCATTATAAAAATAGAAACTGAGAGAAACTGGAGGGTATTTACGAGGAGAAATTTAATTCACATGCATTTGAAAAGAGGGGGTTTTTTTCCGAGAGAGGTGTTGCACATACACAGTAATTTTTTTTTTGTAAGGTGCTTGCCATAATGTGAAATTATTAAATATTATAAATGTGGATTGACCTTCAAAATTCTCCTTCTAATTTAACTGATGGCGTTTTGTAACTTAATGTAATTTCTTTACCATGTACAGAGGGTTTGGGTTTTTAAAGGATAGCTATACAAGTGTTTCAGAGGAAACATCATTTTTTTGAACCTCACTTCTTTAAAAATAAGTGTATATAGATACTAACTACATAAAAACATACAACTGTGCTAGAGAAAATAGTCTTAATACCTTGCTCTTCTTCTATTTTTTTTTGAGTTTACACTGTTTCTGGGGCAACATTCAGACTAACTGTACAACTAAAGACATAAAGTCTCAAATAAATTGAAAATTCACATGTTAGATATCAATGTATAACCTTACAATAGGCTGATTGTTTTCAATGGTGTACTAAAGAATGTAATAGGTCTATTTGGTTAACCAAAAAAACTCTAAATTAAATCCTAAACTAACTACATGCCTTTTCAGATATGTCACACATTGTCACCTGTTTCTAATTCATATCACAGAATGTCGAAGTGTAATGGCTGTGGCTGGTGGAATATATTGAGTTGCTACCTTTATTATTATTCTTCCAGTGATTTGTAAATTAATTCAGCTATGAAAGCTGCTTCACTGACAGTTCTGGAGAAGTCTTCTATCTGTGCAGAAAATCATAAGCATTTCTTTATTTTATTTTAGTCACTGAGTTCTGTATGCAAAAGCACCTGTGCTAACTTTTGGATCATTTGAAAAGCTTGAGATTATACAAAACACATTCAGTCCATGTCAGCCTGAGCTAGAATTTTCAGGAAGATTGAAACAATCACACAGAACTATAGTCATCCCCAGGCATTTGAGAAAATACATCTAGAAAGGGTTTGACAACCTGAATCCCTATACTAAGTGAGGTCATATACTGGAAAGATATGGCAACTGAGAGACGTTTGTTGATAACAGTAGGCTGTAAAGACCTATGAGAAAACAGAGTTACTGGAAGAGATGTCCTAGTTCTCCAGCAGTTTTTGTATTTCACTGAAGCGTAAAGGTGAAAACTAGCTCTGCTCCCTCAATGCATGGCAGAATAATTTGCTTACTAATAGAATAGGATATGGTTAGATGTATTCACTTGCTCTAGATAAGTACCCAACAATTTCAGTAGCATTGTCAGAGCCATCTTTAAGATAATTGGAGATCTCTTCAACCTGACTCTAACTCTCCACGTTGACTCTGTAATTAGCAACGATACCAGTGCCAGTGGGCTTGAGGACAAATACCTGAGGACCAGGATGTGGGTGGGAGCAGTTTGCTTCCCATGTCTGAGCAGCTTTTGGCCTTTTGCTGAGCCTGGTGAATAGGATAACAATGCAGAGTCTGTTTTCATGTGACTGGGACATTAAAACAAGTCAGACTTTTCAACATTTTAGGTTAAAAAGCAAAATAGTACTTTCACAGTCTTTTAACTAGGTCTACATCTGGAAAAAATACACACAAATTGTATTGACAATCAATCCCTCCCAAAACTTTGGGATTTTGTCTGAATGTTACTGCAATGTCTCTTACAAAGACGGTTACTGCTTATTTAAGATGGACAAAAGAGTCTACTAGAATTTAGTTGGTGCTAATCAGAAGGCAAGTCCATTCCAAACTTTGAAATAAATGATCTAAACTTTTTTAGACTCAAACCCATGATATGGAAAATGTTCTCTTTCGTCTATATTTTCCAGTCCAAAAGAGAATCTTTTCTTCCTTAAGTATCATCCGTAGGTGAAATTCGGGCTTTCCTAAAATATAAGTGCAAACAGAGAAATGCACTCACAGTATTTCATCTGAAGAATCTTTAATATAGATAATTGCTTAGGTTAAAAGAAGGCTCTCCAGACTTCTACCCACTTGAACAAAAACTTGTCCAAATCCACGCGCTCTACTGGCTGGGCCTGTGACTCTTACATAGCAAGCTTATTACTCAGCAACAATTAATTTTGAGTAGGTAATAGCCATAGCTAGATATGGGCAAATATTCTCCATTGAAACATTTTACAGAAAAATTCAGATGCAGTGACATCATGTTTTGTGGCTTTTTATCAGTTCTGCCAGCTTCCTTGTTTTGAATAAAAGCCTTATATAGTTAGGATTGAGCCTTTTTTCTTATACCACCATTATAAGTAGGATGTTCCAGTGATTCAGTTTCATATTATTCTTTGTTTAGAAATTTCTTTCTAAAGTGTAGACCTTAACGTGTGAGAGCTAATCAAAATATCTTGATGCAGAAATTCTGATTCTGCTTTTACATTGATCAAAAAATATGAAAACACAACTTTGCTTTACCTGAAAGAAAAACAGGGGAAGGAGGACGATTGCATAGCTAGCAAGTCCTCTATTCTCCTATTTACAGACTAGCACATAACTAAAGCTATGTAAATTTTGCAGTGAATCTTCAATGGTTTCTTATGTATATTTATGGGGAAAAATTATATGAAGTGAGGAAGTAAGCTAATTTAGAGAAGCAAGTATGGTTATAAAAGAAAAGGTATGTGAGGCTCTTTCTTCTAGAGCACTTTCTCCTTCTGTAAAAACCTATCTGCTATATGTTCATGTCCTCACTCATGGCCTGCTCAGACCTGCACCTCTATCTGTGCGTGCTGAGCTTCCGTACCAGTTGGAGATTTGGATAGATGGAGACATGCACAGAACTGATCTCACTGGCAACAACAAGGTCTAAACCCACTTGGAAGCTTGTTGCATCCTGACTTGCATCCCACACTGAACAACCCAGATAAGAACCAGCATTTCTCCCATGTGGCTGTTATATTCTAAATAAACATCACATTTTCACTACATTGATCTCAATAGGAACTGCTGCGTAAAATCAAAACATTAATTTTCTTCATTGTCCCCATAAAATGAGATGTTTTCATACAATATACAGAAAAAGGTGATTATGTCAACATGAGTGGACCTTGTGGAACTTATTCAGTGCTTATAATTATACACAATTCTTTGAAGTCATCTGCTTTATTTTCTCTGTGGATTTTCCATATTCAAAACTTGTTTGGTGTTCAGTGAACTTAGTGTAGGTTTCAAATGATGAAAGTAGGGCATGCCTGAAACAAAATTATGTAATTATAGGGAGCAACAGTGTAAAATAATTTTGTAGCAGACAGAACTCTCATTTTTTATAATACAGCTTCTATTCTAAATAAAGGTCAATCCTCTGTTTAGAATGTGAGTCTGAAGACTGCACCTAAGTATGTACTATTTCACCATTCACATCTATATGTAACAGGTTTCCCTTGTAATTTACCATTTTAACTTACCTGAGATTCTCATAAAAATGTTTCAGAAAACTTTAATGAAATAATGTAAATTCTAGTAACAAAAAAATGGGAGTTAAAATTCAGAAATAGCTTTAACAGAAAAAGACTATATTTTAAAAGAAAAAAAAACTGAATGATGACACAAAATAATTTATTTATATTGTTTAAACATCACAAATTTAGTCCCGATCTGTCAAAATGACTTCTTAACCTTTTTCTCAATTTACAAAAAAAATGTTCAAAATACAGATCAGCCTGTAGTGTTTTTAAAACTGCCACTATATGCCGGGTTTTTACATAACCCTACTGATGAATCACAAAGAATCTAAAGAGTCTGTAGAGATGCATTCTAATACTCACTTCCAAAACACTGTTTAAAAAAGCAAAATTTTAGGGTAGCAATACTAGGTCTATTTCTTACTAAATGCAGCTTACCCCTCTAGATTTGTTCCTTTGGGGGCTGTCACACAATAGAAGGCAAGTATGTTCCATGTGAACAAATTTGACTGAATATGGTTGGTTTTAAATAGCATGGTTTTTCAGCTGTCCCCAGCTTTGCAAAGTGACATGTCATCTGCTCATATCAAACACTTCTAAATTAAATCCCCAGGCTCCACCATCCTGTATTACAGGACTTTCAAGTTTAGCTATAAGCTTGTCATCTAAAATCATATGTAATCTTATCATACATGTTAAACTGGCAGCCTCTTTTCCCAGGTGAAGTCCTAACCTCTCCTAAGCAATTGAAAAATAAAGTCACTGGAAATGAAAAGCAGGAAAAAACAAAAACAAAAACAAAAACAAAAACAAAAACAGAAATGTATTGTTAATTCTTATTGGATTCTTTTTAACGAGTTTTCGGGAAAAGAGTGGAATATTTCACTAAATCGTAATGACGAAGTCTGATATTTACAGTTTCTTGTGTGCATTAATGTAATAGTTACAAAAGCAAGGAAAATGTCCTCTTTGCCAGAAGAAATGCCTACGTTTGCTACTGGGGCTATTACTAACTCTGTGACTTATGAAAGGGATCGCTGCAAATGTTGATACTCTCAGCTGCATAGCAATGAAGGGTAGATAAAAGCATTTGGAGGTAGAACATCCTATTTTCTCTGTTTTCTAACAAGATCCATCCATTAGTATGATAATTCCTGATAAAAGCAGCTGATATCATTCAATATTGAAGCTACATAGTTCCTTTTTAAATCTATCAGAATAAAAGAAAACATTTTACCTTTCATCAAAGTAATAGTAAACATTGCTTAAGTAAAGCTCAAGTGCCTGTTAATATCAGAAAAGCGGAATATTTCAACAAATTAAAAGACCACATCTAAACTTAGTTGTTTCTTCTACACATTTGAAAGTTGCTTTCAAACCCCAATATTTCTTCTGACGGCAGTAAAAATGCCTGCACATCCCTTTGGGTTTAAAATTTTTGGAGGCCAAGTGGCCTGCTGCCCCTGCTGCCTTCCATCTCCCCACATACAAATACTCACTACTAGAAACGTTGAAACTGTGTCTCTGGGGTTAGGCGTTAACTCAGCCTAGCAAAGGGTCCCTGAAGTGGAACATAATGAGAACCGCATGTCGAGAACTCTATTTTAATGACGAAGGGAAAAGTCAGGTTTTACCAGGAGGTGGTGCTTTTGTACAAAACATCCTGCAGATGCAAGTGATCTCATTTCTCCCATAGAGATAAAGCGCACTCAGTGTTCACTCTCCTCCCTGCCTGTTTCAGCTTCCCTCTGCCAGTACCTGCCCACAAAAATGCACAGAAAGAAAATGAATTGAGAACAGTTAAATAGCTTGCCTTTGAAAAAGTTTTAGCGTAGCAGTTTCTCTTGATGTCCGAAGCGTCCTCTGAGCTGGGCTCTCCTACAGGCCACCAATACAATCCCCTGACACCTGCCACTGCTCTTCAGCTTCTCTTGGGTAGTTTATTCAAAAACATTCTAGATTGAGTTATGAATTCATAGATTTAAACCGTAAAGTCCTATCTAAATCCTTGCCTGCCTGTGGTATTTTATGAATGTCAATCCTAGGACCAGTAATTTCAATTCTATTTTGAAAGGTATAAAATATACCTGGCCCAAATTTCGGTCTCTGTTTTGCGTTTGAAGTCACATGTGAAAATGAACAGCGATAAAAATAGTTGTGTGCATTCCAACTAATTGGATTAGTTAGAAAGTCCGTGCCTCCCCTGTCTCAGCCAGTGCATACACACACACACAAGCATTAGTTATAAAGAAACCTGCAGGTGGTTCCAACAGTGCAAAGGCTCGCCTTCCAAAATTTGTTGTGACACTTGAGTCAAAAAACAAGGGGAGAGAGAGAGAGAGAGATTGAAAGCGAGACCTCCTTTTCAAACCAAGGGCACGTCCCGCTCAAGCCAACCACTGTTGTGATGCTTTCATCTCTCCAAATTTGTGAATTCTGCCCAGAAAAAGAGTCCCGGCGCTCTCTGCGTGCGCTGGTCCTGCGCGAGCCTTTACACTGGTGTTTTGTGCGAGTGTTTGTGCATATCTGGGGGCTCCATGCCTCCTCCGTCTGTAACTGGGTTTCCTTTCCTCCTACAGAGCTTGCACTAGCACTCATTTATCTCAGAGTACAAATCTCTCCCTGCCTTCTACTCAAAGCCTCAACATCAAGTCAGAACCTGTTTCTCCTCCTAGAGACCGTACCACCACACCTTCGAGATACCCACAGCACACGCGCCATGAGGCGGGGAGATCTCCAGTTGACAGTTTGAGCAGCTGTAGCAGTTCCTACGATGGAAGCGACCGAGAAGATCACCGGAACGAATTCCACTCCCCCATTGGACTCACCAGACCTTCGCCGGACGAAAGGGAAAGCCCCTCTGTCAAGCGCATGCGGCTGTCTGAAGGATGGGCGACATGATAACATTATTACCTACTAGGTTGTTTTTTTTTTTTCTTGCAGTGTGTGTGTGCTATACCTTAATGGGGGAGGGGGGTCGATATGCATTATATGTGCCGTGTGTGGAAAAAAAAAAAAAAAAGTCAGGTACTCTGTTTTGTAAAAGTACTTTTAAATTGCCTCAGTGATACAGGATAAGGATAAACAGAAATGCTGAGATAAGCTTAGCACTTGAGTTGTACAACAGAACACTTGTACAAAATAGATTTTAAGGCTAACTTCTTTTCACTGTTGTGCTCCCTTGCAAAATGTATGTTACAATAGATAGTGTCATGTTGCAGGTTCAACGTTATTTACATGTAAATAGACGAAAGGAAAACATTTGCCAGAAATGGCATATCTTTACTGAGAGAGAAAGCAGCTGTTATGCAACATATAGAAAATGTACAGATGTTTTGACAGACCCAGCGGTTGGGTGGCCATGAATTGATGCTGGAAAGAGTCTGGGTCACCTAACATACTGAAAATGCTTACAAACATGCAGACATATCGTTCGAGTATGGCGCTCAGTTAAAAAGGATCAAAACATTTAAAGAGGACCATACTTGTAAAAATGTTGAGTTCGAGGGCTAACATATTTAATTTTAAAAACTCTGGGTCTGTATCACTTATTAAATAAAAAAAATTATAAAAATATGTACATTACATTTTGCTTATTTTCATATTAAAAAGTAAGACAGAGTTTGCAAAGCGTTTGTGGCTTTTGTAGTTTCCTTAAGCCAAAATGTGTTCTTTTTCCCTTGATAGCTTCGCTGATCTTTTAAACAGTCCTGAAGAAACAAACAGAAAGGACTTTTTGTATAGAAAGCACTACCCTAAGCCATGAAGAACTCCATGCTTTGCTAACCAAGATAACTGTTTTCTCTTTGCAGAAGTTTTGTTTTTGAAATGTGTATTTCTAATTATATAAAATATTAAGAATCTTTTAAAAAAATCTGTGAAATTAACATGCTTGTGTATAGCTTTCTAATATATATAATAATTATGGTAATAGCAAAAGTTTTTGTTATCTTAATAGTGGGGAATTATATTTGTGCAGTTGCACATTTAAATATTTTCTTTTGGTTTTCTTTTACTGGGTATACATTTTACAGATCAAAGTCAGCTGTTGAAAGACTGATCTGTAAAAAGTTAGAATTTACCCACGGTGTAACAACTTAAATCATTTTAATACAGCATTTTACAATCAGTTGGGTGAACTGCGATCCATTGTATATACTGATTAGTTCTTTCATGCTGTTTTGTGCATTGTAACAAGTTAAGGGCCCTTCTATTACTTAATGTCCTGCGTATCTTGTAGTTTTCCATGGGTTAAATGACAAAGTGGCATAACTCGGCCCTTTCTCATTAATGAAGCTGGTATTCTGCCTGTCAGAATTGGATGTACAGCTCTAACAGCTGTCGGCTACTCGAGCGCGGGTGAATATTTGCAGAAGCAGTAGGGAGAGTTAAAGGGAGGGATCGGCACCAACATGCCTAGTCTAAAGGTTACTCCCCTCTCTCACAGATTTAAAACCCTTAGAGAGATCATCAGTTAAAGGACCGTTCGAAAGTCGATTGATCTTACACAGCCAGTATTGGCCATCGGGTCCCTGGTTCTCACGGACCTCTGCGGTCACGTCGTCTCGCAGCAGGCACGTTGTTGAGCAACGCTCCCTGTGTGTTTGCACCCTTGCAAGGTTTGCTTCAGCATATGGCATCCACATTTTCTCCTGCCTCATATCGTTCCTTTGACTAAAATAGGTTGACCAGGGGGAAGGTCTCATTTCTTTAAGTCCCTCTTCGTCACTCTTGTTTGTAAGAAGAAAATGATATATTCAGATGTTTCAGTTTAACCTTTCTGTTGAAGGGAAAAAGTGTTTAAGAAAAATGTTAGTGCCATAGTAAAAATGTGTTTCTCCTTTTCCAAGAGTCCTCCCAACTCTCACCTACCTACACTGACACTATGATGAAGGCTACAGCTGCGACAGCTAGATATCAACACAGACTATTTCGTTAAGGGAAATCCACACTCTCATTTCCCACCTATACATGCAGTTACTGTGCACTGCTCAATGACAGAGTGTACCTCTCTGTAGTAGAGAATGATGAACAGACTACAGCGTGCGTCAGGAAATACGCTTTTCACTTATCATGACTTTATAGAAGCCTGCCTTACAGGCACTCTCAGCCGTGCGGGTGCTAGTGCATAATCTGGACACTCTTTAAAGCAGAATACTGTGCTACTGACGCATCCATCTTATCTTGTGTAGCGATCTGCAGGGTAAAGAGAAAGATACGCATGTTTAAAAAAAATTACAAAAAATGAACAAAAAAAACACAAAAAACAAAACAACAAAAAAAAAAGGTAAAATGGGGCCCCTAATTAATTTTAAAACACAAAAAAACTGTTTTTGAAACCACTTTCTTCACCTTCAGATGAACCTATACTCAATTCTCTTTGAGAATTTTAAACTTCGGTGTGTCAAAAATATGCAAATATATCACAAATGTACCTTGTCATTTCAAGAAAAAAATACAACTTTATCAGTATTGTAGTAGAAACTTGTCAGTGGGGAAGGGGATTTGGTCTATTGATATATGAAGAATAGCCATATTAATAGTTTACCTTGCGATTTGCCTCAGCAACGCATGAAAAATGGAAGATACCGTATTTAACGAAGATGCAGTGTAATATATTACTGCAAGTAACTAAGCAGAAAGTAGCGTGAAAAGTATTGCCTGGGCAATTTATATTAACTCTGACAGTGATTTTTTTGTATAAACACAAGTAGAACAGAATCACGTGAAAAATAAATGCCAGTCGTCCCTCCTGTTCCTGCTGCAGAGGGCAACTAACTTATACTGGCAAAATTGTGGGGGATAATGCATATTTGCAAACTGATCTAATTATAAGAAGCACAACTTTGATTGTGAAGTCACTTTCTGTAAACTATAACTGTCTACCTTTCTTGTTCCTTTATCTGTACCTTACCATTTATTGTATTTGCAAAGCTAATTTGGGTTTATTGTGTGATTCCTTTGTATTTAAGGAGTTTGGGGCAGAGCCCTGAAAGAGTATTAACATTTACTTTACCTTAACCCATGCTATATAATGTTTTAGGCAACATTCTTAATTGTAAGTTCAAACACCTGAAGTGGCATTCTAGACATCTGCAAGTATTGTTATAGCTAAGCTAACCTCTATTAAAAGGTGTTGTCAGTTAGTGTTTAATTGCTGGTGACAATTATATGATATACCCTACCTGCACAACCTGTATATTGTATGCATTGAGCCATTTGCAGTAAAGCTTTTGTCATTTCAGTGTTTTTCAAAAGTTGTGTTTTATAACAAAATGGCTTATATTTTTCCCAGAAGAGGAATTTAGCAGTTTTTAATGAATAATATAAAAATATCTGTTGTCCTCAGATCTTTTTCAGGTAAAGCTAGCGTAAGAATAAAAGAACTCATAGACTGTTTTCAAGGATGTCAACCCTTTTGTATTGTATGTGTTATCCTATATACCCTCTTTTATCTATAGTCCTAACAGAGCTGTTTTGTTTTCCTTCTTCCTTCGCCTTGAAGGTAAATGCTTTGTAATTTTTTAAAAGCCACTTGAAACCTCAATAAAGGCTGTTGCCTAAACATGGCATACTTCATCTGTTCCTGTTTGTGCCATCTGCTGTGATGTCGTCAGTTATATGGCATTAATTTCCTGCCACTACAGGTCTCTTGAAGGACTGATGGAACATTGGTGTCTGTTAGAATGCTTCAGACTGTAGATGTAATAAAAGGCTTTTGTTAATATATTTTAACCAAAGATGTGGAGCAATCCAAGCTTTGAGCCACAGACTTTCTGCATCAAAAGTATCTCTTTGATTATTTTCATAATCAGGTGTTGCATTTCTACCTTCCCTGCTCATACCTCAGACTGATCCGTACCTCAGTTTGATTCAAAAAAGGTCAGTTAAGTAACTCATTGAAAAAAATAATAAAAAATGCAGTACCGGAGTCTTTAGTGGAGTAACTAATATCAGACCTGGGTTACCACAGGCATTACACTTGGATTGCTTCAGATGGTTTGTTGTATCCTTTTTTTTTCTTTTTTTCTTCTCTTTCATGGGGATTTGCTTCCATAAAACAATGGTGATAACAAAATAGCTTGTAAATGGGAGCATACAAGCATTTGCAACAAATATTAAAGTAGAGGCTCACAGCGGCATAAGCTGGACTTTGTCGCCACTAGATGACAAGATGTTATAACTAAGTTAAACCACATCTGTGTATCTCAAGGGACTTAATTCAGCTGTCTGTAGTGAACAAAAATGGGAAAATTTCAAAAGATTCTCCTGCTGGAAATAAGGTATAATTTGTATTTTGCAGACAAATCAGTAAAGTTACTGGCTTTCTTAGTGATACGGTGTCTGTGGTGCATTTCTTTATTAATTTAGGTAATGTTCCATTTTCACTGTTTTGCACTGTAACACATGAAAGAATCAGGACTTTAACAACTGGCAGTTGCCTCGAGGTCCCTCTGCCTGTCACTTGTGCTTCCTTAGAAAGTTAAGCACCTTTTTTTGGCACCATGAGCCTATCGGTGCCTCAAAAATGTTAATGCCCCACAACACATCGTCCCACCAAGTTGGAGAAACTCCGTTACTGCTCTGGAAGGGCATTTGCCCTGACAGGGCATCCAGATTCCTATATATGCATGTCCTGTAATTTCTCCTTGTGCAGAGAACCATGCAAAAAAACTAAAAAAAAGAAGCATGTTCTATGTCAAAATCTTATATTGTTGGTTCTATGCTTTATATATATTCTTTAACATGATAACTTCTCATAAGGACTGTGTCAGAATTAATCTATTCCCTTTTGTGTACTTGTTTGTTGTTGTTGTTTAATTTTTTTCCCTGCTAAGATTTATAGTTTGGGAGTCTAAGAATACAAGGATCACTTTAATTCAACAAGATGTTTTTTCGTGCCAGAGGCAGACAAACTATTAATAACTTTATGTGCTTGGTGAATGTGGCAATTGCAAAAATAACGTTACAAGTCCTAGTTTCTAAATATGTTTATGAAAGAAAACAGCTGGGCTGTTATTTACCTGTTGCTTTTAATGACAATTTTTTTTAAAAGAAGCATTTCTAGTGTTGCAGTGTTGGACACAGCATAATAATTAGATGCTAAAACTGAGATTAAATGTCATTGGGTTTATTACATAATACATTTTTCTCAGGTAAATCATGTTCTGTCATCATTGGCAAGGATAAGCAAAATATTTCTGGAAATGCACTCAAAGTGTAAGACTCTCTGAAATGTTAAGAGAATTTCTACCTGGGAGTACTTGCTCCTGCAATCAGTCATCTGTGTGATTAATACTGATAATGCTATAGCTGCACTGGAAAAGGAATTCCTTAGCAAATAGAGTCTGTTATGTACTGTTTCCTGATTTATTTGTCTGGAAAAATAACCATACACGTATTGATTACTTTGCTTTAGTTTCTATGAACTGTGTTTTTAAACAATTTTTTAAATTGTGTGTTACAGTAGAAGTGGGAAGGTCACCCGTTTTTCAAATAAGCTTTCTCTCTTTAGGCTCACGTATGTCATTCTGAAGAGCAATCGTCAAGTGTGTGGTCTGAGATTACTTAACCACGTACCTTCTCCATCCAAAGTGTTTGCTTTCCCTCCAAAGTTTTCCTTTCTTTATTCTGTAGGAAAAATCAACATAGTATCTTTTAAGAACTGGAAAACTATATTGGGACTGTTGTTGCATAGGTTTCAGAAAAGGGAGCTCAAACTGTCAGTTCTGTTAATACCTTTGCTTTTTGTCAGTGTGACCCATTCATACCTAACCCTTTCTCAAGTGTAATGCTTACATTTCCACACATGAAATACTGAGGATCAGAGGGTCCAGCAAAGAGGAATGATTTTAAAACAATCAGACTATTTGGTCTGTAAAGAGCAGAAAGACCTTTTCCATGCCTCCAGTGACAAACATTCCTCAGTAATTCAGTGGAAATTTACCAAGGCCGAAGAATGCAGCAAGGTTTTACCTGCTCCATGAATGTTCTCACCTACATATAAATGGAACTTCAGTTTCCTGGAGTCCCTTGTTTTGGGAAGCTCAGACTGCTTAGCCATAGCAAACTCAGGCTATGTTTATTTTGTATTCATGTACCGCACTTGACATTTTACAAT